ACCCGAATATACGATGCTGCCAATAACGATTTGATAGGTTGCTGACACCTGAACTAGGATCTTCCTAGTAGAAGAAAGTTTTTAATTTTGCGCCGCCTCCAAAAAGGTTGAAATGTATTTAGTATACTATTTAACGAGTAAATAGGTTTTATTAATAGCTGTTGGGTATTTGTATAAATGAAGTAGAAATTATTTCATACTTTTTAGTGCATTTCGAAGTCGGTTGTATTTTTTGTTAAAAATTATTTTATTAATTTTATAGTGGGCATACATTTAACACTAGTTGTTTTAGGAAAACGCGAGAAAAGACATTCCCGGATTTAACTTTAAATAATTGAATAGCCAATAATAGCATAATCGTTATTTTATAATATATCATCAAACATTTCTGAATTAGCTTTTTATCACAGTAACATCGGTGAACGTGCTTCTCTTCATGACGCGAGTATAAAAAAGTAAATCAATGACTATGTAATTATTACCGACGTATCCGTGCAATTATATAACAGTAGGAATTATTACCGTAATAACTGTACCATACCGATGTGTCTGCTATCACTTAACACCTTGACAGATGATTTTACAAATTACCTAAGCTGAATAAATTGATCATATATAACGTTATAAATGAATGTTTGAATATTAAAAACAGCACGTAAGTCCGTAATTTAAAATTAAAAAAAAATTCTTAGAAGAGCAATAGACTTTTTAAGTCTTGGAATTTTTTAATACATGAACAAGTTAATTGAGCACTAGAATTCCTAATCAGTCAGAATCACTGGTTTCGGCTTTCTTAATTTTAAATTACAAAATTTATTAAGATATTTTTGTTGAAATATTAATTATTGCCAAGATATAGAATGATTTTTCATGCTGATTTATGTTTCATTGAACACTGATAGATTTAGTGTTAACGTATGAATAAATTACATTAACAAATAATAAATCAATTCCTATATTATATTTCTGAAACTGTAGGTAGAAAATTATGTCCAACGAACTCACCTCTTGTGACCTGTGTCATATAATGAAATTGTTAATAAGATTTTCTCGTATTTTGTATCAGCAATGTAAATATCAGATTAAAATTCACTCTAATACATTTATTTTCCAAATTTGCTAATAGAAGCATCCTTTTCTTGATTTTACAAAGCGTTACGTTATCATAGAGATAATCCTGAAATTCTTAAACGTGTAATTAAAAATAACCTTCCCTCTGCTATTGTTTGAATATTTTTCTAATTAACAATTCAAACGTTCCCGGTAAGGCTTAGGATCAGATACCGTTAAATGATCAATTGCACGTTGTTCGCGATTAGCTTCACGCAATCGGGTAATTTGTAAATTATTTTCCCGTTGAAAAATGTCGTACGACTCGCGTGCTTTAGTTATCTGTTCTTCCATTACCTGTACGTATTAGCGGAAGGTTGAAAAACCAATTACAATGTCGGCCGTATTTCATTCACCGAGCTGCATCTGCTGTTCGATGCAAATACATCGGGTGTTCCGCAATATGTTGTACAAGCCTGGATCCTGCATCCGAAAAACAAGAAAATGTTTTTTTTTTCTCTTAAATAGAAAAAAATGAAGATTGCATTTAAAAATGTGGATAACTGGGATGATCAGATAATAGAGGTTAATTGATTGTTCCGATCAGTATGAAAAACTCATGTTAGGGTAGGTCAATTCGAGCATAAAATGTTGTAGTTTACAATACATTCTTGAGCTGTTGTTTCCCGATTACAGTCAAAGTAGGCAGAGATTAATTCAATTCTGTATCTACTCCAATGTTAAGGAAATTAATTATTATAATTATCATTGTTATTATTATTACGATTAATAAAATGTCCATTGGTCTACTATACCATTATCACCAGTACTACTACTACTATTATTATTACCACTCAACTACTATTATTATTATTACCACTCAACTACTACTATTATCGCGCTATCAATTATTATTAACGTTACTACATCAGGCTAGTGGGTCTATGTATATAGGAGGACCAAAGGAACTTGCATCTTCGAACATTTTTCTAGAAAAGCCTATCAACTTTTCTTACTAAGTGTTTTTTCATTTTAAAAAGTACGTATTCAGAAATTTAGTTATTTTTGTATGCAGAAATTATAAAAAATGTAGAACATATTAGTCAATACACCCGCTTTTATTTAAAACTAAATTATTGGAAATTAAAAATTGTAAAAATTTTAGATAATATATTAAATGATTTAGTTTGCCATTTTAAGTAGATTTTTAATTCCATATTTGTTCTACTTTCAATTAATCATAATATCTTCCTATCTTCATTAATATTACAATAATTTGATTACGAAGTTGTTAACTTTCAAACAATTTTGTAAACCAGAATTTACGTAACATTACAAATTCGTAGTTGAACAGAAACAGAGGAAAATTTTAACGTTCGATGTAAATATAATGAAACTGTTAGTTTACTAGATTATTCATTACAAACTCTGTAATATTGACCGAAGGTTACTTTTGTATTTTAACTTCGTACATAGGCACATAATATGCAACATATTATAGCAAGTATTTCACTGAACACAGACCGGGACGGTAGAATTACGTGCAACGTGTAATTCCTGATTCAACGTTGCACTGCATCTTTCTTACAACTGCATTACTATAATGACGTGTACCGCTTATTAGAGCTGTCCGAGTAGTCGAGAAAAACGAGTGGATGGACTGAAACATTAAGCTCAAAGAACTTTACCACTTCAATTATTTCAGATACAGACAGACTTTAAATAACACGTCACTGGTATTACAAGGAATTTCATGTAATACAGTCAAACATGTTTTTGTGTACCCTTTATTTATAAAAATGGAAATGAAAAACTGAAATCTGAACCCCCTAGTGTACTGTAGGTAAATGCATAGACATCAGTCTACACATTAGATGACTGATAGATATAAAATAGCACTTATGTTATATTAATTTGAAGCTTATCGTTTGTACAAAGTGATCATACAAATCTTTTATTAATTATTTCAGTACAAACTGGATGATTGTCAACGAATTGTTTTGCTGTGTACTATACAATAATTGATAAGAAGATTCTCTGATAACTAATCAGTTTGTATTGAAAATAATAATGGAAAGTTTTTACAATCAATTTCAGCAAACTTTAAGTTTTAAATTGATATAAAATAAGTATTATTTTATCATAATTTTATGTCATAAAATCGTGTTATTGTTTCTTATAACTGTTAATCAGCCATTTTGTATTAAGAATATTGATGAAGTATAAAATTTAGCATATAACTAAGAAATATGAGTATCATAAAAATCAATTCAAATTCTTCCGCGTAAACGTTTATACTAGGGACATGGGGGTACCCGATATTACGGGTTCGGGTGAGCTCGGAAACAATCGGGCGGGCTCGGGCGCGCATCCGATACATGCGTGCAGTTGGGTAGCTCGATTATTTCGGGTTCGTTCGGGTACAATTGGGCAGATTCGGATGAGCTCCCACGGGCCGCGACCCAATTCTCATGTACTTGTTAATACTTGCAATAAGCATGTGCAAAATCTGTTGTACTTGGAATTTTGGAATAAGATCAGTTGGAAGCTCGTCCGAATCTGCCCGACTGTACCCGACCGAACTCGAAATAGTCAGACTACCCGACTGCACGCATGTATCGGACGCTTTCGTGAGCCTGCCCGATGTTTTCCGAACCGACCCGAATAGTCGGGAACTCGACACATTAGTCGGGCCGCACATCACTACAGTAAAAGCTGGATATATGCAACAAAAGTTTGGCTGGATATATGCAACATCGCTATCCCCTCCACTTGGGGGGATCCCCCTAAGCCGAACCGAGCCGCTCGGCGAGGAAACTGTGTAATATGATCCGACCGTAATATCGGTGTGACTAATACTAATTGAACGATAAAACTTTTTTATTTTTAACTTTTTCTTAATGAAACTTTTACTAACGCATTTGTGAGATTTTTCTGATTAAAATGGTACCAAACACGACATGATTTGAATTATATTTATTTATTAAAATAATAATAAAACTGTAATAATAGCAAAGTACTAAACTGGTCGATGGCTTCATAAAATTATTGTTGCCACAGTTCAGTTCAGAATATTTCTAAGTAGCGGAATTATTGACTGCAAATTAGTTGCTTTATGATGTTAGGAACAGCCCGTGATTTCCATGAAACCGGACAGTTTCTTCCTATTGAAAATTAAAGTAATTTACAAGCTAACAGTAATAACAGAATGATAATAGAATAAATAAACAATAATAATATAATAAACAATATAGAATTGACATCTCGGCTACATATGTATAAGGCAGGCAGTACACCAAAGATACATCAAACACGCAACAGGCAACATGCAACACGTACGAACGTAGAATAGGTAACGCGGCACGGTACAAACGATTTGTACGGACACAGAATCGATACCAAGACTGGATATATGCAACGTTTAAATGCCCAGAATCCACACCTCGGCTGGATATATGCAACGTTTGAAACCCGAGCCGACACCGCAACCGGTTTTCATTTCCAATCGTCCTTTGCTTTTCGCCAACTTTTAACATCAATTTTAGCAAGTAATTATAATTCAAACTATATCGTGTTTAGTCCCACTTTAATTACAAAAATCTCACCAATGCGCTAGTACAAGTTTCATTTAAAAAAAGTCAAAAATAAAAAAGTTTTCTGATTCAATTAGTATCAGTCACACCGATACGTTTCGGCTCTTTCCTTTGATCATCGGACCTCTCTCCTTCCGCCACTGTCTGTCCTTTTCTACGTTCACGCTTGGCTGCTCGTCGCGTGTAACCCGAGATTCGACACCTCGACTGGATATATGCAACGTCTGGGTCCCAATGTTTGTTGCATATATCCAGCTTTTACTGTAGTTTATACGCAAGTGACGGGAGGGCACAGTGTATATGAGGCAGCCGGGGGGGGGGGGGGGGGGGGGGGGGGCATGGTCATTTTCTCTGGGAAGTCTACCATGCCCGATACTGTACGATTATCAAACAGCGTTAAAATTGTTATATTTACTATATTTTGCACAAATTATCCGTGTACTACTCCATTGGCGGTACGTGTGTCATTAATTGAGAACCGCTGATGTAAAGTATGTTACTTTGCGATACCTTTGTGGCATGAGGTGTATGCTAATAGAATCTATAAAATAGTAGAATAAATTCATTAAGCGTAACAATGCTTGAGAACACATTTTAAAATTTAATTTAAAAATCACGTGCTCGAATAATTTTATTTCCGAGTAGAAAAGTTCTCGATACTTTGAAACGCTAAGAAACGTAGAACGTCTTTCCTTTCCCTCGATGGTATCCAGAATCTTCCCTTAATTATCCTGTACGATGCGTAAAATAATTATTCCCCCGTTATTCGCATGCAAACGAGGGGTTCGAATAATAATCGAACATGGTTGTAGAGAAGCGAAAGGGGAATCGGTGGCAAACGGGGAAACGGAGTTGGAAGAGGGGCTGCTGATATCAATAAGCGTCGTAAATACGTTATTTTTAGTAAGTCGTCGCGTTTAACCGCGGTTACTATACTAGCACACCGAGAGATATCTTTAATCGTCGTGAGTCTGTTTGCAATTCGTGACATTGATGTGCAATTCATACAAAGTAACTCGTGATGAAGTATTACGGATGGAAGTTTTCCACGGAGCTTTAACAAACGTGTCAGAAGGATTTTTTAGCCTGTAATTTTTTAAATAAAACCAAGGGACACTTCATAATTTCATCAACTTCACGAGCAGTTACATAAATTAATTAAATGGTGACTTCTTATTGCAGGGAATTACAATTCTATTCGAATTTGATGTTATACTTTCGAAGCAATTTCTTATAAATAATAGTGGGTTGTTATCGACAACCACATATAATATGGAAGATCAGATGTAAGAAACTAGTTGGAAATAGAGGAATGCTTTTTATTGAATAAAGTCGATGTCAAAACATGGCAAAATAGAATAAATAACTAAATACTGAATATATAAAAATTCAATTGCTTGAAAAAGTAAAAACAGTTAACATTTGGTAATTTGAAAAAGAATTGTATCTAATATGAAATATCTAAAGAATTTATAAAGGAAACTCAAGAAACTTTATTTTTACTATTAAAAATCAGTATTCTAATTTTTTTAAAATTATTAAATGTTTATACCTAGTCCTTTCTTTGTATATCTATGGGTTCTCAGTCAGTTATCATTAGAGTGTTAAATAATTTCATAGAACACCCTCTACAATGAACACAGTGCACATTTTTTTTTTTTTCAAACTGAGAAAATACCATCATTTGCTTCCCTACAATATCTTCGTAGTGTGTAATTTCGTGTTTCAGTGTTCTTTGTGTAGCGAAAACGCTAGAAGTTTGCATGTACCATGTTCTAGGGGTCGCACCGCTTATTCTTCGCGATTAATGCATCATCGCGTTCCCGGTTAAACGGCGTGGGTGTAATTTATACGAAGTCCGTGTACGAGTTCTCAGGTGACGCGAAATTCGTTTTATCAGCGCATGCTCGCGTGTTCTTTAGCGAACTTAAACATCGGTGTCTTATTTTTCTGGATGGTCCGCTGGTTTTGCACTCGCAAAGAATTCTCTACGCAAAGATGCGTCAGGGATAATTTGGACGAACAGGTTGAAAGTTTGTTCATTTCACTGGTAATCGTGGATAAACGAATATCTGTGCTTCAAAATGGTTTAATAAAATAAAAAATACAAAGAAGAATACAAAAGTTTTAGTTCAAGTATCATCTGAATATGAAGTATAATACTTTGAGAATATTTTATTAATTAATAGAATAATTTAAGTAAAATTTTTTGCCAGTTTAAAAAAAAATTCTACGCTCTTATAAATAATGAATTGTTGATGAGTTTATAATTATAACACCTATTATTCTGAAATCAGTGGTTGTAGCTGGTATAATAATAATAATAAAGTAATCATTTCTCATAAGTTCAATCAAGAAAAGTATGCAATGACAAGTATTTTTACCAATTTACCAGTTACCAATTTTCACCATGATCTGAATGAAAAAAACGTAAATAATGTTAATGAATATAACTCATTCTGTGTCACTGTTTAGGCAAGTTGATCAACATTAACATAACAAAATAAAACAAAATACTTCATCACTTTTACTAACAGCTGTCTGTATTTGATTATTTTTAAAGTTGCAAATATGCTTATCATTCTTCTATTACGTCTACAAATTAATTATGTGCCCTTTCATTTTTTAAATTGAAAATTTATTTTTCAAACGTCATGTAACTTAAATATTAACTTATTTAACTTCAATTATTGAAATAATTTTTATTGCTACCATATATTTCGCACTACTTTTCAAATACTTACACAGAAGCGTAGGAAAATATTCAAGTTTAACATAGTAATTAAGAAAACATAATACTAGAGGCACCGTATTAATTTGTACACCTAATGCAGTTCACCAATTAAAAGCTTGACGCATGGCGTGGCGAAGAACATGTTTGAAAGAGAATGAAATCAGTGCCAGACACTTGGACAATTCCCCTAGCGAGAGTTCGGTCAGCTAAGTCCGGTCGATCGACGAGCAACGCGCTACGTTCCGAGTTTGTTTCTGTTGGAAAAACTTGGGTTGATTCGAATCCTTCGTCCCGGGGCAAAGTCGGGAGATTTAAAATCTTGAGGTCAAGACCGACATTTGATTCGCGTAAGTTCGGGAACATTGTTGGACCTTGATCCGAACGTGACTCGGTGGTGCTTATCGAACAACTGCCGCCATTGAACTCGACCAAAACTCAAGCGACGATTGTTCGATCGAGTAGCTGACTGGTCGATGAGAAATGCATTATCAAATAGCGGGAAAGAGAATTAGAGAAGTTCCAAGACTTCATTAACAGCTCGAGTAAACTATAGTTTGAATATCGTGACTGACTATATTGCCGTTCTTGGCTCAATTACCCTAATTTGGCAAGCCCTTTAAATTAAAAAAAATACAAAATTCACTTACCTATATTCATTTCAAGGTACGGATAACTTAATTCTTTTGAATATTTATTTTTCTCATTTGACTCAGGGAAGAGTTTTAAAAGCCAGGAACAGTAGAGTAAATTAGTCGTTAATGAATATAAACGACTCAAGTTGTCCATGGAAGTTGCAAAAAATATTCTTGCCCATGGAGGCTTAATAATGGACTGAAAAATGAGAAAGAAGTATAATAAAAAATTGAAGAGTTTAACTTATGATCTAGGTACAGATTACTCATTGATGATTGCACGTTATGACATTTAGAAATAATGAATAATATATTATTAGCAGAGGGAGTATCGAAACGATGAAGATCAGACTGTAAATCTATTTTCATATGTCATTAAGGCACAGCGAAAACTGAAAGGTAACTTTAAGATCATTGATATCGGAAGTCGTGCATAATTCTCGTGCGAGTGAAATTTGAATTTAATCGGTCTTTGCGTTTTACACTGCTTAGTAAATGGCATTCGATTAACTTTCTGTTCTCGCGATGGGAGGTCCGATGTATCCTGTCAACCGTCCACTTTTTCCTCTTTGAGATTGAATTTTGTAACAACGTGAGAAATTGTTTTCTCCTGCATTAATTATAGTGGAAGGATGATTCGGCGGATTATTTCTTGAGATTAGGCTGAAATAGTAGGAGTCTTCTATTTTTTTTTTCCTATAAATTATAAAACGAAACTTGGGAGGTATGCTTCTGAAAAGGTGAAACAGTTTTTTCTTTCTTCTTGAAGTTCCATTTTTCTTCTTTATTGTCTGTATCGTTTTGTCAGTATATAAACTGCTATTTTACGACGTTATCGCTTCATCGGCATTTATTATGAATTTCTTTTTAGGTATACGCGATCGCAGGTTTAAATTAAAATCTTTTGTGTACGATGATGATTATAAAATATAAATATTACCAAGCTAGTTTTGTCGAAGTTTGTGATCGAAAATTTCATTTTTCAAGACGCCCTCAAATTTGTATTTTTATTTCAAAATTGGTTAAACTTTTCACCCAACTAACACTCATACATTAAATTAGAGATTTGAATAAATATCTTAGAATATTTGCAGGTTTTTTTACAACATGGAACAATAAAAGATTGTGCTCGAAAGTATACAGTTAATACTGTTTTTTTTTTCTTTAAATTTTATAATGTCACGACAGCAGAAGCTATGACAATGTCGGGTGAAAAGGTAGTCTAACTCATCTAGCAGCCCCCGATTTCTCTCTGTTTTATCTGTGTATAGACGATCAGGATTCATCATCTTTGCTGGCTTCCAGACACAATCTGAAGGCAATTGGAACGAGCCGCTATTCCAAAACGAATCGCGAACCGGCTTCGTTTTTCTAAAACATCATCTACTCGCCGGAACGTTGGGGTCGTCAGCGCGTGCGACTTTGATGATGATCGCCCGAAGGATCAATTATGGCCCCGTCTCTCTTTGCTATTGCGAGCTTTCAAATTTGTACCGTACAGCCTCGTTTGTTCCACAGTTGACGAGAGATGCTTGTATAGCTGGTTCCAGCAACGTGGTCGTTCAAGGCGATTCGAAAACAAGCGAGCCAGTCTTTTGAGGCAGACGCTGAAAACCGGATCTGTTTCCCCGAATGCCGAGGCGGTGATCCTCGTGCTACCTATGCCACCATATTAACCGGCGATCGACTCGACAAAGACCTCCCAATAATGTTTCTCTGTCTGAACCTTCTTTTTGCTTCTTTTCGATTCGGCGGTGTCAAAGGCGCGAGAGGGAAAAAAAAATGCGAATGAAATATTGTCTTTACGGTCGAACAGGCTGTAACTTCCAATCGAGAGGTGTATAGATAGAACAGATAGAGAAGTAATCGTTTAATAAATTGATACGGATAATGTTCACTGTGTAAACTGGAAATTCCCAAATTCGAATTCATTTCAGAATGAGTAATTGTAAGGTCCGGGAATGAATTTGTAGGTACTTTGTCATTTGAAAGTATTCAATTTCAGAAAAACAGTATTCTGCAAAACAAGAAATTATCATGTACTGACGAGAGATGGAAAGAATATTAGGCAAAGAAATGCGGGTACGATTGGTCGGAGTCGGTACGTCACGCCTCACGCGCATGCGTTCTAGATTATCGCGCGCTATTGGCCAGTGCGATCACACATTAATCGCGTCGCCTGACAAAGAAAAGTGAGATGGTCGAAGTCAGCGGGACAGGGCGGAGCGTGCGAAGTATTCCCTTTGCCCCTGTGCCGTCCCGCTAATATTCTTTCCATCTCTACACTGTACATATGTAGGTACACTCGCGATCAAATCAGGCTTTCCTACAGAAAATAGCGATATAGGGGAAACAGGAATTCTCGAAACCTTAATTTTGACGATGTTAACATTAAAAATGATTTAGAAACAAGATAATATAGTTTTTAATTATTAAATATAAAATTTAATACATAACTGAGAAACATGTTCCAATTTTCCCGCGTAAATATTTAGACACAAATGATAGAGCCACAGTAGGTATACCTCCTCTACTTCGCCAGTTCTCCGCGGGAAAACTATGGGAAAGCCTGATTTGATCGTGAGTGTACATATTAGGCTGTCGCATATAAGTTGACGAATTTCGAAACATAGAAAGTTTAACGTGATTTCATGACATAAAGGTATTAGAAAATGACTATATAAATGATTCATCGATATTCCAAATAAAAATTGCCTGATTCTTTATTGAAAGTTGAACATCAACAATATTATATACGGGAATTGATTCTTGGAGCAACCAAACTACAGTGGTACCTCGGTATATGTACATCTGCTTTGGAATACGTCCAATTCGAAATACGTCCTGTTTGGACGTGATAAATTTTGCTCGGTATACAACATAAATTTTTTGTGTGAATTTTGCATCATTTTTAAATAATTATCTCAGAGGAAAAATTAAATTAATAATTAATTATATTCGGAGTTGATGTATTATTAACATACAAGTAAGGATATCATATAACAAAATATGGGAAAGGTTCGTTTGGTATACGTCCTATTCGGTATAAGACCAAATATCAGGAACGGATTAAGGTCGTATATCGATGTTACCACTGTATTTTGTTTTAAGAATATTGATAAAATCTTTAACACTGATTTTCATCGAACCTCAAGTTAATATATCACAAGTGGTTATTTGCAATATTTTTATGTCCTCAAATCACGTTAGACGTTCTGTGTTTCAAACCCCGTAATTTGACGAATAGATACAGAATACCTACACTATAATTTCGCATATATCATATGAATTACCTAAATATTAATAAACAAAAGATTAGTACCTGAAGATATTTTTTTTTTTTTTTAATTTAGGGGTTTTTGTCGCATCAACTACAAGGTTATTAACGACATCAAAGAGTAATTAAAGCTTACATTATCTCTTCTATCAGTTTGGTATCTTTTATAAATTTAAGTAAGTCTTGAATTTTACTGTTTTTTAAGTTGTCCTTGAGTGAAGATCCTAGTTTATATTTGGAGGAAATCATATTTAGTAAAGTGGAGAATTAAATGATCTATGGATATTACAGAGTCATATTTCTTGATCTACAATACACATAAAAGGTTCAAATGTACTTGTTCAAGATTCCATTATATTTGAACGTACTTCGAAGTATTTTTTGAACCTATCTTGCCTAAGTTTATGTACAAGCGTTGCTTCTATTTTCCGAGGTACTCATGCTTGCAATTTACTTGGATCCGATCTTTAGCCACGTCCGTTTGGTCGTTACCGAAGAGACTGGTTAAACGTTCGATGGTGGTCGTCGTGAATGGGGAGATGTAATCGTACCGAGCTATCGTTCAAGTTTTACGTCTGTTCAGGAAATTGGTGTCACTTGGCGGGACGAGTAACAGCTGACGAGGATTAACCTCTTGCCTTATGATTTTCTCAGCAATTGCATCTGTTAGGGCTAATCATTCACTGTGATGTTACAGCAAAATGAAGAAAGCTGAAATAACATGTCATTTCATAAATAATCTTATTTCTTTATTTTGATTACTTATAAAAATTTATCTTCCTCATATTTTAACACTTACGAATCACTTAATAAGTATCTACATGCTGTAGCTGGTGAATTGCTTTAATTTAAATTTGCAGGGTCATTAGTGTTTATTTTTGAACAATTTTCAAACACAAATTATTTTCAAGGAAATAAGGTGACACGGATTGTCACACCGGTTGAAAGTTTTCTAAAGTATATTGCTTGGAACAACGTCGAACGTCCAAAGGTGACCGGTAAAATTGCTCACGAAAGAAATTTATTGCTTTTGCAACGAGTAAAATTTTAACACACAGCGCGTCAAATAGTGAATAGAAGAAAAATTAATACCTCTGTTCTTCCCATTTACCTTTTCTTTTGATAAGGTTTGACACATATTATATTTTATTAAAATTTGAAATAAAATAAAATAGTAAAAAATTAAATGCAAAATTTAAATAGGTTAAATAAAAAGAAAAAAAATACAAATATATAGGATTCAAAGGAATATTATCTTCATTAGGTACTGGCCATATAGGTAGAGCCAAAAAGAACAGCATAATTAGGTACTTATGTATGTTTATCAGATTCTTCAAGTCGATTTCTCAGTCTCTTCGGTGGGGTCGTTAACGCCTCAGATTACGACTATGGTCGAAGAATAAAGTCCTAATAGAATCCCACAGACGACCATTCTCGTAAAGTGTATTTGCATGTACGTCTGTATCATTCGAACAGTATTCGGCAAACAAGTTCCTCGACGACCGGTATTACAGCATCGGTAAACAGTATTTCGTGAAACTCTGTCGGCTTGAAAGCGTATTTGAAGCACATTATGTAAATCGCGTGCGACACTGTAGTGTTTGGGGAGGTCGGACCATCCAGGTAAAATGGACTTTAAAGTCTGGTCATACAGGATGCGACCAAAGAGCGTGGTGTAATACTTGTTCAAATTATAGAATAAATTCCTTCCATACGACATACCATTTTCCGTAAAAATCACATTTTTCTAATACATTTATAGTCCCGTCACCCATATATAGATCACAATAGATACAATCAGACGCCAAAATTATTCTCAAAATAGTATTCTTTTATTATAAACAATAATATATTCTAATAGGTAGTTAATAAAATGTTGTTGACTAGCTTGATATTGCACGTTTAATTACCAACATTAAATATGCAGTTACGTGCTCAGTCGCCAACATTTAAACGTTCAAAAACGATAATAAACTTCAATATCATTTCTTCCGCTTTCAATATAGAAAATAGGAGATAATTAGGCGAAGACTTGCAAGCAAGTACAGTGGGTGATCAAATTATTATGAACAGATGGAAAACTTGCATATTTTATGTTTCCGATGCTATTATGTATTCCATAAAATATCCTTTTTACCAAAAACCGTAACAGCCTGCTTAACTAATAAAAAAATTCAAGTTTCACCGTGGCCTGGAAATTCACCATATATGAACCCAATAGAAAATCTTTGGGAATTATTAAAGCGTCGATGTGCTTATTGTTAGGTGTATAAGTCTACTTGATGACGAATAGAGGGAACATCATTATGCCTTGTTTAAATGCGAACATATTGTACAATACCCAATGAGCCGAGAAATCATAGAAAGTGTCCATTCAGCCCTGCGCAATCGAGCAAAAAAGAGGATGCCGAGTCATAGCTGTGTGGTGGTTCCAATAAGAGTTGGATCCTCTTCTTCATCTTATCGATTATTATCAGACCGACTGCGTTATAATAAACAAGCTTAACCTGGCGAAAACCCCTCGTTGAAAATAACAAAGCAAATAATTCGTTGGAAAAGATAAAGGGAAACGAAGTTAGGTGTATACGCAGCAGCAATTAAATTCTCATTAGATCTTTCTGTGGTTGCAAAAAGCGCGTGGGTCTCAGCGCGAGAAAAGAGGTTCCGAAGGTGACATCATCGACGAATTTAACCTGTTAATATACGAAGACGAAATAACTCGTCGTTTGAAAATACTTGTTTACTTGTTTGGGAAAGACGAATTGACTCGTCGCCAGTATTAAGAAAATGAGAAAATGCAAATATAATTCGAGAAGTGATCAAGAACGTATGCACTAAATTGCTGCGGTTAAATTTAATGAACAATCAGTGCCATTTTATAGCCCTAATTAAATTTGGATAGGTTAGAAAATAGGAGAGAGTGTCCTTTGTACAAGGAATATTAAATGTCGATGGAAATTATAATCTTCTTTTTTACAAAATTAATTTAACCCTTTAACTGCTGAGTACTCTAGGCTTAAACGTTCTGTGTGTACAAAATAAGGATTAAGTTGATAACACTTATCATTTTTTTCTTTTTTATTTCCCTTTATTTCTCAATTTATTTATTTATTTATTTTTTCATTATTTTATCACATTATTATACTTAATCTGATAACATGATGTGTAATTAGTAACATGTATTGATAACTTTTGATTATGATTATGTTCATACTCAGCATCGATAACTTTCTCCTGACGTCCATAGCAGTCAAAGGGTTGAATGTTTGATTTAGAAGCATTAGGAACTTGGGCTCTATTTTACTCCAAGACCTGAGAATTCCGATCTTCTAACGCTCTTGAACGGATACAGAGACGATATAACTTATGTTGAAACTGCGTTAAACGATGCGTCTCATTATTTAGCCCAAACGAATTTATATTGTCTCTTATTGGTTTAGATTGCTGCGTATCAAAAGGCGAACTTCGAAACATACAAAGTCTCACATGATTTAATACCGTAACTCAGAGTTTATCTTACTTCATTTTATTCTAAATCAACTCCAGTAAATAAATTTTAAAAAAGACCTCTAAAAATTTATCTTGAAAATAAATTATACTCTTTATTAAAATTGCGTGTTAATTAAAAATGTAAAAAAAAAGAAATTACGAGTACGATTGTTATAATTGTCAAAAGTTGTTCTGATCGTTTTTGGTAAACCCTTTACGGGTTACGTTGAAATTGATCGAAAGTCCGGGAGAAGAAAGAAGACATAGGAGAAGAAAAAGAAGATTCGTGCAGCCGAAGAAGGTGGCCGAACCACCGTGGCGCCGTTCACATTTCATTAAGTGTGATGCTCGAGGAAACTACCTGTGTACGAGCTTTAACGCTTCCCCTTGGCGGAGGGAGAGAAAAAGAGATAGCAACAGTCCAGCTCTCAGCAGCCAAGATAAACGTGATAGAACGGAGAAGAGAAGAGAAGAGAAGAGAATGAAGCATGTAGGAGAGAAAGGAAGAGAACGGGAACAGAAGCTTCTCACGGAACGAGTTGGAACGGAACATGGAGTGACTATACGATCCACTGTTAACCCTTTGTTTTATGAGTTTTTCGAAAGTTATGTTCGCCGCGTTGTCCTGAATTTCAAGCACGCTTTAAGAAGACGAATAGATGCTTACACGCGTCGCTGGACGATATTGTCTTCCCGTTTTTACAATCTTTCTCTCTCTCTCTCTCTCTCTTTTTTTAATCTAAAAGGGAAGAAAAATATTTTTATAGTTTAATTTAGGTGTACTTTTTGTTGAGAATATATAGACATACTGAATTATTCCAGTAATGGAAGAATAGGGAAAGGGTTGGTCCTAATTGAGAAAATAAATAAAAATTATAGAATAATATTTTTTTAATATACAATTTCGGTTTAGAGAAAATTGTGCAAGAAAGGAATAAACTTTTATTTGAATATTTCATAACAGAAAGATGAAAATTAAAAAATATATTTATATGTTACTGAAATGATACTGTTTACGCAGGATAATAAGTGGAAAGCTTAAGTTAAAAAATAAGGTGATCATGTGCTGAGTAATTATAATTACAATGTATCTCACTGTACACTTGCGATCAAATCAGGCTTTCTCAGGGAAAGTGGCGATATAGGGAAAGTAGGAATTCTCAAAATCTTAATTTTGATGATATTAATATTAAAAGCAATTTAGAAAGCAAATAATATAATTTTTAATTTTGTAAAATATAAAAAGAACACGTCTAATTGTAAGTAATAATCTTGTGAGAAATATTAGCTTATTTTAATGGTATTAATGAATACATTTATTAATTTATGATATTTATCAAGCATTGCATTTGCATTACTGAAGAAATTGTTGAAGTTATCACGTTTATCAAACATTTATTTTAAACAATTTTCAAATTCATCATCAGTGTTCTCTAAAACGAAGTTCAATATATGTAAATAGATTCTATGCTATGAGCATCTTTATGATGGTGAAATTTGTGAATCATGATTGAAAATGAACAGTAATGAAGCGTTGCGTTCATTGTACACATCTCTTGAATTCTTTTCATCACTCTGACTACTAAGTAGTTTCCTTGTTTTTTTTATTTTGTATCTGCTGATTCGTCACGAGCATCGATAAATTAGGCTCAAGAACCGCAAACCTGGCGTGATCAGTATTCTATTAGATGCAAACGGTTGTTCCAATTCTGTAGTAGGACGTCTTAAAATAGTCGTTTCGACTAAAAGTATCATCGAAAATGAAAAGCGAAATTTTTTTTTTTTAATGTTTCAACGTGTTGACTTCCATGTCATCCACTTATTGAATGTCGCTTGAATTTTCATAGGAATCCATCACTTACATACGTTATTAGAAATTTTTCTACTTGTCTGATTAGAAATACTCGTATTAGGTACCTACTTAAGATTATAGGCAATAGAAATTGAAATATTGTGAAAAAAATAATTAGTTACTTTTTAATTAATTACAATTTTTAGAATTGAGGATTGCTAGAGAAAATCCGATGTATGTAATATGTTATATGTCTTTCCCTATGGTATTTTAAATAACGAATAATTAATTCCAGTAGATACAGCTATCAAATAAAATTGTAAGACAGAAGGATTAACGTGATTTAATTAATATTCTTTACCATTTAATTACAAGGAACACACGTGTAAAATAATATCGGTTTTTCGATAATCGATTAAATTATTCGGTTCACGATAAAGTATCGCATGAAAATATTAAATCAAAATCAGACTTTTAACTGCAGGAAATCTTCTGTCGACACGCATCGTAGATGGCACGGATTCGAATCAGAAACTCTAGATATCCGCCTTGGCGTGTTTCCAATTCCTCTGCCACCATCAATTTACTGTTTGTCGTGGACGTGCGTTAGCTACTCGTTTAGGAACATCGTGTTCTTTATTATTTTTCAGCTCGCAAAAGCTCCGCTTGTTCCGTTTTCTCGTTAAATTCGAGGGAGAAAAATTTACGATGCTGTAAGAGCGCTCTGTTTTTCCTTTCTGTGTATAGTTTTCAACCACAGTACGCGTGTCACTATGCATAACTATTTATTCAGTGATTCTGAAAAAAAGTATTTTACATAATTGAATGTCTTTAATAACATCATTATATTGATAGCTCAGTTTCTTTTTTTCTATTTATCATTGATGGTTTGTACATCATGGAACTACGTAAAATGTCTAATTTCATTCATTGTATTTTATTTGAGTTCATGAAATTTTACAATTGAGATATGTATATCATACAAAAGTTCAGAACTTTCAAACACAACTGGAAAAAAACAATTTCAGTTTGTCAAAAAACATGACAACTTTAACAATTTCTTCAGTAATGCAAATATTATAAATTAATAAATGCAATTATTAATAACATTAAAATATTTCTCACGAGATTATTACCAAAACGTGTTCTTTTTACGAGAATTTATTAATTTCTAATCTATTAATTTCATGTTTTATCAATACATTTAATTGTTCAATGGTTAATTAAATGTACAGCCTCGAGCAAAATAAGTTTTCTCAAGGAAAATGACGATATAGGGAAAGCAAGAATTCTCAGAATCTTAATTTTTACAGTATTAACATAAAAAATGATTTAGAAACAAAGTAATGTAATTTTTAACTATTAAACATAAAATTTAATATATAATTGAGAAATGTGTTCAGATTTTCCCATATAAAGGTTTAGACGCAAGTGATAAGGCTACAAAACTTATACATGGGAGTTACCTCCCATATATTGCCAGTTCCCCTTGGGAAACCTACGGTGATTGGTACTGTAGATTTTACAACTTATCTGATAGCAAGATTTAAAAAATATGTATTAATAGTTTTATTAATGGTATTTAAACATACTTATGTCTGTAACAATTTTGATGAGATTCATATACATTCAGTACGTTATGTTTGCTAAAGAAAACTATTTTATTATGTTTGATTACCTTAGAATGGTTATCAGAAAAAGTAATATATTTAATATTACTTAAATTAAGTGCATACTTTTTACTATATAGAGGTTTTTAATTGAATTTTTAATTTTAATTTTACGTCGTTATTTTTTTTATTGAAGTTCAACAATGTAAATGAAATTTAGCCTACTTGAAAAATGTAGAATGCACGAAGTGGACGATAACGTTGCTGCTTTACGTAACAGATGGTACGTGCACAGTGGCATTAATGAAATTTAATAATATGATTTTATTCTCGAGCAAATAAATCATGCAATCGTATTGCAAAATTATTTCGGGATACGAGATATTGTAGCCGTTCTAAAAAAAGAAGTCAGACGACGGTGTTTTTTTATTAACAGACGATCTCTAATTGACATGCTCCGAACGCCCACTTTGATTTGCATTTTTAATTTCTCTTTTATTATGTTTCTTCACTTTCGATTTTTGTGGGAACCGAATCGTTTTTCAATGATTCTTTATATATTTTCAGACGCCATAAATTATCAGATATTGTTTCCTTTCAAGATTTAATATTAATCTACTGCATTTAAATTTTGTTCGCTTCTCAGAAAACTAACATAACAGAAATATAAATTAAGAGTTAAATTTTAATTTATGAATAGTTATAAAGATATCGTTTGTAATTTGGACATAATTTATAGAGAAAAATAAGTATGCACACAGAGCAGATGAGATTGCATTTTCTGTGTAAGTTAATTAGGACAGGAGAAATGCAAAACGTGATAAAAAAATTTATTGATATTTTTAACTCTGAAAACCAGAATAATCTTTTCAATGATGCGGGTTGTAAACTAAACATTTTAATTATCATTACAATATTAACTATAAGGTATAAAGTTTAATTATTTTCGTCGTAAATAATGAAACGAAATCTTTGGGAATACCCCCCTTTATTAAACAAAGAATTATGAATTTTGAAAAAAACAGTCCATAACACTTCATTTGGTCCACTTTGTATATTTATTCCCTATACATAGAGTGTTCCATCAAACTGGACAAAATCTGAAAAACCTTTATTGAAATTGTGTTCTTTATTATACATCAGTCAAAGCGTTTTTTAATTCTTTACAAAAAAATATTAAGTACTTGGATCGAAAATTGATAAGTTCGAAAAATATTTTAGGGAGAGACAGGGGGAGTCCATTGGTCTCTTTGTAAGATATCTTTTTTTCTGTAGGAAATAAAATGACGCTTCGATCGACGTATGGAAAAGTATATAGTTCTATAAGAAAAAAAAAAAAAAAAAGGGATGACTGAAATATTTGAAACGCCTCCACTTCCGGTATCAACATATGCATATGCACGATTAATTTTCCTTAAAAAGATTTTTATCCATCTTCTATCGCTTTAAAGTTGCATCTTGGTTCAGTTGCATGGAACACCATGTATGTTTATTGTTGCACAACAGCACTATTCGAAAGCCATAAAACAACAGCAAAAGTTTCCTCGGTAAACAACTTTGACCAGTTCGAACTTTAGTCGATACCGTTGAGAAACGATACGTGGAATGGCTGATTGTTCCGGGATATCGATTCGTCCCGTATGATAAGAGGAAACACACAGGTACTTGTTAACTTTGAACCGGTGGCAATCGAATGAAATCGATTGGTGGAGAGAATTTTGTTTAGAAAGTTACGTGACGACAAATGGTCATGGAAATGACGAGGTGATACAGGCTTACGAGGTTCAAACCTCATCGTTGTTATGGTGCTACGTGTTCGATAGCAATGGAACGAGCGTATGTTCTTTCGCACGCGATATCGATAGCTGCTCGAAGAAACTACCCGTTCTTGAAAACCGTGTATCGACTCGTTTGAATATGGATATCCTGTTTCGTGCATCGAAAGGATATCCGTTTTGTATCAATTAATATTTTATGGAATGAATAAAAATTAGTTACCTTATCTTATCTACGATTGGCTAACATTCCGACCATAACACGTTCACTGATGCATTGAAAAGAAACGCGTATATGATACATATAATATTATATTGAATCAGTAGCTCTTTGGGATAAGTTTCCGAATGGCCCTACCAAAATTGAGAACTCAAGTTCGGTATACAGTAAAAGCTGGATATATGCAACAAAAGTTTGGCTGGATATATGCAACATCGCTATCCCCTCCACTTGGGGGGATCCCCCTAAGCCGAACCGAGCCGCTCGGCGAGGAAACTGTGTAATATGATCCGACCGTAATATCGGTGTGACTAATACTAATTGAACGATAAAACTTTTTTATTTTTAACTTTTTCTTAATGAAACTTTTACTAACGCATTTGTGAGATTTTTCTGATTAAAATGGTACCAAACACGACATGATTTGAATTATATTTATTTATTAAAATAATAATAAAACTGTAATAATAGCAAAGTACTAAACTGGTCGATGACTTCATAAAATTATTGTTGCCACGGTTCAGTTCAGAATATTTCTAAGTAGCGGAATTATTGACTGCAAATTAGGTGCTTTATGATGTTAGGAACAGCCCGTGATTTCCATGAAACCGGACAGTTTCTTCCTATTGAAAATTAAAGTAATTTACAAGCTAACAGTAATAACAGAATGATAATAGAATAAATAAACAATAATAATAAAATAAACAATATAGAATTGACATCTCGGCTACATATGTATAAGGCAGGCCGTACACCAAAGATACATCAAACACGCAACATACAACATGCAACACGTACGAACGTAGAATAGGAAACGCGGCACGGTACAAACGATTTGTACGGACACAGAATCGATACCAAGACCGGATATATACAACGTTTAAATGCCCAGAATCGACACCTCGGCTGGATATATGCAACATTAAGTGCCCAGAATCGACATCTCGACTGGATATATGCAACGCCTGGGTCCCAATGTTTGTTGCATATATCCAGCTTTTACTGTATAACCTAAATTGACTACCAGAAATCGATTAAAATTGGTTTCAGAGCCGGATGTCTTACCGTTTTAAAGATATCGTGGTAAGAAATTTTTGTACAATTTTGGGACTACGTATGCGCTATTCGATACTGAGCATGCGCCATTCAACACTGCGCATGCGCTAATCGATACTGCGTATACACGGAACCTAACCTAACCTTACCACAATATCTCGAAAACGGTAAGACCTCCAGCTCTGAAACCAACTTTAATCGGTTTCTTGTAGTCAATTTAGGTTATATATCGAACCTGAGTTTTCAATTTTGGTTGGGCCATTCGGAAGCACAGCTGCTCTTTGCACTCTTAGCATTTTTTGATACGATTAAGAAAATTTTACAGTTGAGTTTTTGAAAACCGAATGTTTTTTTTCTGACGAGAAAAACAAAGACGAATTTTGAGGGTCGCTATTATTCATCTAGGCTCCGTCGTTAGAAGTTTAAAATTTTGATAAATATATGTATGTATTAAAGATCCAAACTGAAGCAAAAAAATTACATATTTCTGACAGAAATATAATACTACTACAGAGGATATTTCCTTCAACTTTCTATGATTCAATTTAGTTGGCGAACAAAATAAAGTGGTTTTGATGGACAAACTATCGCGATGCGGACTCGTGACGCGAGGACGATATTTTTATAAGTTCGGTGGCATTGGTCCAACCACATTGGACCACCCTCGATCGATCTCGTTTTGAAAATAAAAATGAACATCCGTTCACTTTGAATCGCCGACCATTTACGAATCGTTAACTGGCACGGTCGATGCAGGAATTATTCTAAATGAATCAACTGTTTCCTCTATACTTGTTTGATCACCGACCATAAACTTAGCCACACAATTAGTGAATAATTCGAGGGAATACGTAGAACAAACAAATATAGTCAACGGATTTATTTTATTGTTAAATCTCGACTTCTTCAAATAAGAACTTCAGAAATAATAAGATAGATACGTTCATATAGTTCCATTATTATCATTTTACAAGTTTTGTGGCAAAATTTGAAATTAGAATTGAAAATTTATTCACTTAATTAAATCAATTTTGTCTTTAATTATTAGGTTTTGCATCTTCTTGAAAACTATTTTAAGTTTGAATAATTTAATAACAGTAAAACTTTAATAATTGAAGTTATGATGATTTTTAAAAATCAATCTTCAATTGAAAAAAGAAAAGGCACAGAGTTAATTTGTACATCCAATATGAAAATCGAGAAGAAAAATTTAGGAATTTGTCCGTGTAAATAATTAGGTACATAAAATATTGTCAATATTATGAAAATCGTATTATTATAATGGGACTTTTTATTTATACAATTCAACCGTGATGTTCTCGTAGAAGGACAAATGACTCGCATTTTGAGTATAGAATTCACGAAAATGCTGAAGACACAAGAAAGTTGTATTTTCTTAGAAATTCCATGTATTTGTTGGCCGACTTACATACCCCGCGTGGTGTAACTTGTAACTTAAAAATACCCTCTGAATATTCTTCAAACGAATTTTTTTCTCGTGTTCAGTAATATTCAACGTAAAGTATGAGTCACAAAATAAAGGATGGGTCTTAATAAAAATATCTCATCTATGAAGAATGACCAAAACCCACTAAAAAGTAATGCGTTGATTGGCACAGTGGAAGTGGATATGCATGGTCAGACGTACTGAAAATTTAATTAATAAGGATACAAGCAGTTAATTTTCAAATTTAAGCTTTCAGTTTGTTAGCTGATATTGTTAATATACGTAATAATAGTATTATTTAAAATTTTATTCGTTGTTTCTTTTATCAATTGTGCCATTGGCTATGAAAGTGAGTTAAGTTAAATATTTTTCATGCAAAAATTCCTACATATTATTATGATGTAGATTGATATAACATAAAATAAATAAAAAATATAACTTCTTTAAATTTTAGCTTTACGATTAGAGCATTTCGTTTTATAAAAAAATAATTGTGAATCATGGAATGCCTGGAAATTTTAATGTTAAAATTTGTAGAAAATATCGCGTCCTTATCGATAATATAATCGTACGACAGTTAACGAATTTTTATTTTTTGATTATGTAACAATATTGTTGATAGTCATCGATCAAACCGTTCGTTCTTCTATCTTTTTCCGTTTTTTACGCTTTGCAAGAAAAAACGTCGCAATGAAGATAAGAAGCCGAAGTTAGAGGACTTTTATCGGGCCAGGTTCCCTCGAGAGAGCGAACGAAGAGAAAACTGACGCATCCACGCGGACATTGTGGGTCAAGGTTCGCGGTGATAGTCGTCGCCGTCGTTTCGCCGAATCGCTTTGCCACAGATACGTCGAATGTACGTCGAATTAGGTAGCCAATGTTGCCGAGCCGATGATTTCTTCGATGTTCATTCTTGGATTTCTCGTTGCTAATCGTTTCTTTGTTGTTTTCGCACGAATGATGGATAATCTGGCAGGAACCTTGTTGTGGTTTCAGTTCTAGAAAAGCACTCTTGGTATAACGACTTCATATTTTTTGTAAACGTAAATCATGGCGATGAAGTTTGCCATCTGTATCTGAATTAAATTTTGAGTGTGTGTTGTTTTTTGGAGGATAGTTATTAATTTTTTAATTTGCAACATTGATGGGTTGATTATTTTGAAGGTATTTATGCAGTGTTTAATTCTTTGACTTTCAATAGTTTGATGGTTCATGAGTCATTACAGAATCATTTGTGCCTCTTATATTATATCATTTAAAACAACTGATTTTCTAAGTCACGGGCCTTCGATTTAATACGTAAAACATAGTGAAATTTTAACATTGACGTGAAAACAGACATGTGTGGTGGGACATAATGGAATCTTAACGCGTTCATCGCCATAGTGGAGCGAGCGTGTGTAGTCAGACACGCTGTAATTTTAATTATTCAGACTACAGTTTAATCAATTAGCACTTGCTATCTTGCGTAATTAATATAATATAAATGCTCGTTAAAAGTTTTCTTAAAACTCTTTTTCTTTGTTATTTAATCATTAGGTGTACAAATTAATTTGGTGCTTTTAGAACTACGCTTTTTTAATTACTATTATAAATTTGAATATTTCCCCGTGCTCCTGTGTATTCAAAAAGTGGCGCATGAATACGTTACTTCATTAATTGGAGTTACCAAGACTTTTTAAGAATAATCTTCATTTAAAAAAAGGCACAGAATTAATTTATGCACCTAATATATTAAATAATAATTTTCCAAATATTGAAACTTTACAACTACATAAGAGAAAAGGAAAGAAAAAGAAATTATTAATAGTCAAACTAGAATTTATTAAAAAACAGAATTAGGGCCCTAATTATCATTTAATTAAAGATTAGTAATTATGTTAAATGATTTTCTTATGTACAAAATGAATTATAGCGATGAATTCGTTTGCTTAAAATGACCTTTTAAAGCTGAGAATTAACTTAACTAGTTTAAGTTGGGAGATCGGTAATTTACACTTGCAGAAGTCTAACACCGTCACAGTAGAAGATGCCTAGTCAGAAAAAATCATATGAACCATTAAGAATACTAAAAATTTCAATTCACTTTACAATTTAAAACTTTCTTTCCATTTTTTCTTATTATTTAAATATTTCACTAAATTAAATTCATAGCCCTGATTATTGACGACGGTGACAGCAATCAACGCGTTAATAGAAACCAGTCCTTACACTAATTAAATACAATAATATTATATTATTCCACTTGAAATCATTCTGCATCATTCATTCGTGCAAATGTTATTTTTAACAACATTTACTTGATACGTATTGGTCTAATTTGAAAGATGTAATTAAAATTTGATAATATTACTCTGTTTCGTAATAATTCACATTGACTCGTAATTAGCAAGTCGAGCGTAATTCAACAAGCGAATCGTGTTTAACATCGATCGTTTCAGCGATACTCTGTTACGTAATTTTGAATAAAATTCAGACGTTTTGCGGGCCTCTATGTTTCTTTTTTTCAACGGCAGTCTGCGCGCGCGGTCCGTGTTAATTACTTTTTCTTTTCTTTTCTCTCTCTCTCTCCCTCTCTCTCTTTTTTTTAGCAGTACTGTTCGCATAATACGTAACTTGAAAAACCACGACATTCACCAACGCTTGTACGTGTTGTAGGAACAAGTAACCAACGAACCTGATGTAATTATTAGGAACGCTCTAACAATAAGTACCAAGAAGGGAAGTTAGAAATGTGAACGTGATTGTGGGCTCTAATTATTAACGTACAGAGGAACATTTCTATTTCATCATTGGTTACACAACGTCTACCATCCGCGGTTGGTAAAATCCTTCCATAAACGTACATTTACATGTAGCGCATAAACGCTGTGTGTTTTCACTGACTCTCACTGCTTTCTAGTGTATTGAAAAGATAAAAGTATGCCTGATTACGCACGCCCATATTTGATGTAACAGATTATGTGTTGTCATTCTGTTAACCCTTTCGCTACTAACGGTGGAGCTGTAGTCACCCAACAAGACGGTGAATTTCGCATTCATTTTTAACTTTGGTAGAGCAGAATATTATTACATTGTTATGTAGGATCCCGGCGGAAAATTATTGCGTTTTCGTCTCGGGAAACCGTCCACTAGAACTCGTCAGTGGGACTGACGTGGACGGTCCCTGCCCCAGACGACTGGGTTCTACAGGGTGATCCTCTCGCTAGTGGACCCAAAGGAAGTGCTGCAACGATAGAATGAAGAAGTCGACACCCCATTTCTGTCATCGCTTACTTGACGGAGGTGGCCCCTGCAGCGTAGACGGCTGTGTTCGTGAAAATGTGTGTAATGAGCAGAAGAGTCCCATTTAAACGCTGCGAAAAACAGAATATTTTCTTAACACATTTTCACGTATACAGCCGTCTCCGCTGCAGAGGCCTCCTCCGTCAAGTAAGCGATGACAGAAATGGGGTGTCGACTTCTTTATTCTATTGTGGCGTCACTTCCTTTGAAGATCACCCTGTATATCGACAAGGCCAGTGATGGAGCACTTGCGAGAAAGGATGGAGTAGTACCTACTCGCGAGACACTTTGCGGCCATCACGGGAAAGAGGGGCCCAGGCGCTTATAACCCCCACAGTGATTTCTATAGTTGCCGATTTCTTGTATTTAATTTCTATTTTATTTTATATTACGAGATTATTATTTTGTTATTTTTATTTTTCAACTGCGTCTGCGTTAGGATTGCCCCGTATCGGGACAGCGCATTCGCGAGCAAGTCCGCCGTAGCGAAAAGGCTAAGTTAGTAATGGGTAGAGGTTTACGAAAATCGGAAAATATCGGATTGAATCGGATCGAATGAAGGCAAATCAGAATTGGTCGGGTAGAGTCGGGTCAAAATTGTCCGGCTCAGCTCAGATTCTCGGAAGTAAAGATGCGCGGGAACTTGAAAGTTTCGGGTACCCGATACCCGGATTGGATCAGGAATTATTTTGGTTAGCTTAGAGTGAATTAGATTTTTAGAATCAGACACGTTCAACAAAGTTCACCCCGAAACAATTCTCCATATTTCGGCAATTCCGAGTCGACTGAAATAATTCCCGACTCGATCCGAAATTTTCTGGTTCTAGCGCCCCTCTGTTAATGGGTAATTAAAATTATAGCATCGAATAATTAACAATTGCTATAAAAGTTCTAAGCGAAGGATTATTTCGACGGAAATATGTAAATGCAGTGTTCGACCAGTTTCAAGCGTGTCACAAATTCCTCGACGATTTCGAGGCGTTCCTTGATTTGCGATAAAATCTACGCGTTTTCTCACAAATCAATCCTTTCTTTCCCTTTCCATGCCGTCGCGAATTTTTTTTCTTCCTAGCAATGGCAGCATTAGAAGTTGGTCGCGACGTTGTCCCCTCAGCATCGACGAAACCTCGGCGAAGTTAACGAGCTTCCTGAGACGTGGCATGGCTGGCTGGCTATACGCGCACGTTCCTCCAGGCGCCAGTGTTCAAGAATTTAATTAGTGGCATCCTCTTTCGCTTCGAAAGTAGAGTCGGCAGCTTTATCCATCTCGATGGCGGTTTTCAGTGATGCCACGAGCCGCTGATAACTACTACCAGTACGAGTCGGCACGTCGCGTCGCGTCCGCGTGGAACGGGCACGGGCGAATGAAAAATTTTACTAATTCGACGACTGCCGACTAAACGACTATTCCAGATTCCTCTTGTATTAACACATTGCCTATTATATGGGGGAAATGGGATCACCGGTAAAGACCGCCATTATAGGAATTTAATTCAGTGTAACAATTATAATTAAAAATGAAGAGAGAAATCAAATACGTAGTCTGGTTTAAAAATAACTAGACTATATTTATAAAAATCTTATGATACACTTTTAAGAATTAACCCGTATAAGACTATGTGGTTCTTAACCCTTTCCTTATGATCACTTCTGCCAGAAACTGAGTATGGTAGGCTATGTACAAGTAAACAATACTAATAATAATGTAAATATTAGATAAAATTTTTTCGATTAAATGTTTAGCTGTTGATGGTCGCTATTTTTAATAGCAGATATACTTACAATTAGTAACTTGCAATGTGGTGATGGTTATTATACACAAATTAATATGTTACATTTGATGGTTATTGCATACAAATTGTCACAAATAAAAATAAATTAGTAATTAAACTTAATTGTGTATAACACTTTGGCTTGAACAGCATTTACATAATTTCTCTAAAAAAAAGTATTAATATACTTTGTGCCATAATAAGTTTTCGTCATAATGGTAAATTTTAATTAGTTTGAATTTATGTGTTCAATATTTATGTACATTTAACCAAGTGTACGAGCACTGATTCAAGGATGATGCCGAATTTATTGAATATAAAACTGCTAAAGCGTTAACTCGTTGACTGTTGTGGAGGTAGCCAATGAATGTCACCTGGCACCATATATTAAATATAATTGGATAATTAAGAAAAAGTGAGGAAAGTGTAATTTTCAATAGCATTGATGTTACATTGATAATAATTTGAAAATTCAAATTGTAAAATTGAATAATTAAATCATGTTTATCACCTTCACTATTTGGTGTCTCATATATGGTACTAATGTACAATGGCAAATTTATACTAAAAGGTATTAATAAAAATTTAAACTTATCTTTGTTCGAATAATCTACGCACACTGTAAATTATTTTAATAATTTTCTATTGACAATAATTATTGATAATTTTCTTTTTTAATTTTTCGTATTTGATAATTTGTCTTGATAATTAATTATGTCAATAAAATAATAGATGCGAAAGCTACATAAAACTGCAAATAAATTGCAAAAAATTAATTTTTCTGACTACATATTACAAATTATGTGTAAAGAAAAATAGTAGGTAGTAACATAGTGTATTAAATGTGACACAGCATACAGCAGCATTATGTGTGTATTACATGAAAAATAAATAAAAATTTTCTGTGTGCCATATCATGACACATTATAGAATAAGGGATTAACAACTGTTATAATAAAGTGTTATAGGTACTGTATGCATATCTCCATTAAAGTTCAAGTGAATTATTAGATTTAATTTTGTCTATCCGATGCTCGTAGCCTTAAAGTTGGTCATGGTTAATGGTACTCGTGATACGAATACCATTTGTATACACATATTTCAATTAATATACAGAGGAGTATCCATTCACTTTCTCTGTACACTTTCCATAAGTTTCATAGCATGCAAGCTTGTTACGTGAACTATAAACATCAAAGACACTCGAGGTATCGTAATTAATATTTTATGAATTTCATTCAGAATTAAAAATTAAGACCTTTATGTTCAAACATAGAATAGTCATGAAAATGAAACTTGAAAATATTCATAAATATTTAAGAAGATGAATGAATCTCATTTGAATCGAGGAAGATTTAATTCCTTAATTAACTGTGATGAAAAAATCTAAATAATTCTAAAGCATAATTGATTAAATAATTTTTCTTAACCAACTTATTTCAATATGCAATTAAACGCGTTCGAAAGTACTTCTGTTGTTCAAGCAATTAGACAGTGGAAAATTTATGTAATTAGAATGTTGATTATTTGAATACAAGCAAGTAATAAATCCTTCAACGTAATTAGTTGTAATTAGTAGTTCGTTGGTTGATCCTTTATTTTGAATTGATAAGACACGAGTAGGGTAATTAAAAAATTATTATCCAATTAAATATTCCATGAATCTTCTGCTGCATTAATCCTTGGAATTTGCACTTTCTGATAATGTGTAACGGAACAATTTATCGCCATTTAACTGAACAGAGGACGTCAAGTCACATTGTCTACAATTAAAAGTAAGAATAATTAATTTTCTGATTTTGCATTCCAGTTTCAAATTATTAGTATCTATAATAATAATTCTATTGAAAATATTAAATATATAAATTAATTCGCTACCTGTAGCATTACGCCTTCCGAGTACTTGAAAAGTGACGCGAAAATATGATAACAATTAAAATTACTTCACTAGTTCAAATTATCGCGACTTCTTAAAAACAAGTCTTTAATTAAAAAATAAAAGAAAAGACACAGAATTAATTTGTACCCCCACGGTATTTAACAAGTTAAAAAATTAATTAAATAATATGATAATGATAATGATCATTGGCAATGATTCCGAAACGGAAAGCATAACAAGCGCTTTTTTCCTTTCGTTTTCTTACGGCGAGAGTACTAAGGATTTTTCGAAATAATCGCGAACCGAAGCTGAATAAAAAGCGTCAACCGTTGCTCGTCAAAGAGTGTAAACCACCGTTGGAAGGACGTCTATTCTTCTCGGTTAATGCAGATACGCTCAAGCCGTTCCTATGAGCATTGCGTCATTGCCAATAGAAGAGAAAACATAAGGGGTGCTGGACCACCATTCAATGGACGCGAACGAGCCTTGAGAACATTTTGTTCGAGCGTTTCTAGCGCTAGGAAAAAGCTCAATACATAGTACGTTTGCGATTAAAGTCACAATTCTATTATGTTTGTTCTCTTGCCGGCTTGTACTTCTGCTTTTATTGTTTCTACGCTGCTTTGTGACATCGTGTTAGTTCGTTCAAAAATATTACCACCGAGTGGTTAGGAACTTTTATAATACATTGATTGTCGAAGTAGAAATAGCCATATCCACTAGGGTACACCATACTGTGGTCTATTAATAAGGAAATCTTTCGAGCTGTCCTTCAGTGATTTTAATGCAACTGAAATGTGTTAAATAGGATGCAGAAATAACCAATGGGTTATTATTAATCGACTTCGAAAAAGGAGGAGGTTACTCAAATCAATCAGTATTTTTTTTTTAAATCTATATTTCTAAGGGGTGAAAAACTCCTTCAAAGTTTGCAGTATGGTAGTGTGGTTTTTATTTTAGTTATTATTTTATTATCTCTACGTGCCTAAGCTAATTATAAACGGTAATTCTACGTAAACTATGAATAAAACGGATTCGTCGCAGATTTATCCCAGGGCACGTCTATTCTCCATACGTCGTCGTCGTCGTCAACTGATCGTCGATTTTTTGTGATTGGACGCGTCGCGGACCCCCTGCGACCCCCCTGCAATCCGCAGTGGAATCCAGAATATTCTGGAAACATCCAACTATTTACTGGGACTAGGTGTATAACACTATAAAGTACTTACATTTGTGATTAGGCTGTATCTTTGTTGCCATCATATATTTTCGATAGTACGTTATCCAGTATGGGGAGATACATATAGAGGAAACAGGAATTCCTAAAATCTTAATTTTGACAATAATAACTCTTAACGGACGAGTTGCTTTTTTTTTATCTTTTTCCATTTCTGGGAATTTTTTAGGGCATATCAAAATGTGTGCAAAAACATAAATCTACATGTCCCATCTGTTAAGTGTTAATGTGAAAATTAATTTAGAAAACAAATAATGTAATTTTTAATTAGTAACTATTATAAGAGTTAGTATGTAACTGAGAAGTATGAATGATAAATAACAATCAATTAAAATTTTCCTCCGGAGAAGCCAACGGAGATGAAAATGAGAACCCGGGACATCACCTCCCATTTTTCATGGGAAAACTTAATTTGATCGCGAGTGCACTTTAGTATCTGTTGCCTCGTAGACCCTTCAGGTCCCGGCAAAATAACCATCAGGTAGAAATTATACCAGAAGTTATAAAACCAACGCCTGGTCGACTACCCTTCATTGGGGTCGCGTACCGTTAGGCGCTCCGCAATTAAAAATTAAGGAATTCCTAAAAATTCTGAAAAAAACCCACGGTAACTCGTCGACTGCTTCACTTCCACTCTTCCACACCTCCCACCACATTTTCTCCACCATTTTCTCCGAAACCAATAACTCCTGCCCAATCATAACACAATTTTCCTTTCCGTTCTACATATTTCTTCTTGCACTTCCACCAATCAGCGATAGTTCTAGGCATAGACAATTTTCCTTTCTGCCAGCACACGAAAACGAAGGCAGAACTCCGACAACTCTCATAGTATTAACACCTCGGAAAACATATACATTATCTTGTATATCATACAGTTTGTTACTGAAATATAGTTTATATTAAACCAATCAACCGATTCAATCATTTGACGTAAAACAATTCTCGAGTACTAATTTATTCGAGGATAGCTGGGACATTTGAGATCGAAACAACAGTTTCAAGCCGCAGTATTATACAGTATCAATTTTACATGAAAGAACCATTTCCTTTTTCTTTTATTTCACTGTATATAATTAAATTAATTAAATTTTAAACCGGAGTTAAATAAAAATTAATCCTATAAATATTGATCGTATTTCAATGAACCAATTTATACAGCATACAGATAAAATGTCTTTCACAAATAAAAAATAAAATGTTTACAGTTTTTCACCTTGAAAGAAAAAGTTTGATAAAAGTTGACCACTAGTACTGGAGGTCGATAAGCAGAGACCTCTTAATTATTCTACGGGTTCGCAGCGTGTACCTAACCGTGTAAAAGCATCGGTCCGTTTTGATTCGCGGTTGAACGAGGGCGGAGTACGTGAACGACAGAAAAAAAAAAAAAAAAAAAAAAAAAGGAAGATGGAAAAACGTTCGTACGTGGCGGTGGCGGTGTCGACGTCGACGCCGACGCGGGCGTCGTTGTTGGGCGTCGAAGGCAGGCGTGGTACATTCGACGACCTTGACCCCCGTCCTCAACTGGCGGTGGTTCGTAGTCTGGTCGATATGTGCCGCTCCTTATCCCCCTTCGAAGTAATACACCCCCACAGCCAACTGATTCTCATCTAGCCGTTCTACCTTGCCCAGTCCAAGCTCACCCTGCCCGCCATGCTTCCGTTGCCCTACCATCTCGTATCGCGGTCGACGTATCGATGTTCTTCGCCTTGGTTTTGCTCGATGTGGCGCAAGATCAGTTTTCTACCCGGCCCGAATTGCGCGTTGCTCGGCCGATGCGATGTGCTTCAGGAACTGGAACGAGATCGATTTCGATTCGCTATACACCCAGCTTGATTCCTTCTTTTTTTCTTTTAACACCTTCGAAGGTTTCTTCATTGTTTTTCGAGTTGCGTTCTTCAATAGGGATGTTTGAGAAGTTGGTTTTTATTGATTTTTAGCAGGGTTACATGCGTCGAGAAACAGGTTTAGGTCGTAGTTACGCTCGAGGATTTCTTTCGGTTTTGTTTTCTTCTCGATTTAGAATATAGATTTTTTTTTTTCAACTGTTGTATTGAGGTAGTTGAAACTTTTATTAGGTAGCATTTTTTTTTGTTTTTAACAAATCTTATTTTGTTATTTTTATTATATAAAATTTCCTCTGTCTATTATGGGTACATGTTTCTAATTAGATAAATTAAAGAATTTAAAATGATATATTTACAGGTCATAGGATTTTTATGAGAATTCAAGTGTTTCTTATATACATGTCTATGCGGATGACGTGGTAGTCTACGTATTAAAATTAATTTTTATTAATTTTTCTTTTCTCTTTCAATTTATAATTTTTCATTTATGGTACGGGATTTTTTAAAAATTGATTTTCATTAATTTTATTAAGAAAACATGTGCTTAAAAATTTGATTTTTTTAAGAAATTCATTTCAAATCGTCCATTACTCCTAATTAATATAATCATTGCAAGTGTAAATGAAGAAGAAAACAGTTCTAATAAGAAACAATATTTTGAATGTTACAGAAAGAGGTAATACTACGTCAGCCGACAACCAATCTGTTAATTGATACATCACGAGCATATTACGAACGCGCGTTCGTCAGCATCGACGTCGTCAACGACAAAGACGACGACGACGACGGCGACGACGACGCAGTACCTAAACGCGTTTGGTGCGCGCGTTGGTATCGATTTCAGCGAAGCCGTCCCAGAACCTTTGAAAAAGATGGTGGTACGTAGTAAGGTCCAGTAATTTCTGACTTAATCCATGTTTACAGAAATTGAAGAAACCTGTTTCATTTTTCATGTATCCTTCGTGTGTTTCGACATTTTATTACTGCATATTTCATCAATCATATTTGTCATTCTTAGAATGAGTGACTAGTACAAGTACATTAATTAATTAACCCTTTTGGTGCGAACGCCTTATATACGCACATGTTATTAGAAATGAAATATTAAAGAGGAATTATAATTTTTGAAATTCAGAAACAAATAGATAACACATTTATTATTTGTTACACGTATATGTAACAATAACAGAAAATATAAATTTTCTCAGATTTAACAATTGCAAATGATATTTATTATAATTTTAATATTATCGAATTATTAAAAGAAAAAATAGTTACACGAAATTTGATATGATATTAAAATTATATTATTCAAGGTAACAAGTGAAAAGTTTAATTAAATAATAACTGCAATTTCAATTATAACATGTCAGACTACACATGGCCATTTTCACTGTAGCAATCAACGTATTAAAAAAGTCAATTATACATAAATTTAAAGTTAAACACTGTAGGCGTTGAGACGGTGCCATTTAAACTTAATTTTGCATTTTACATTACCTTCATTTTTTAAATTTTACATCGTTACCTTAAGTATTATTTTTCCAATATATGAAAGTTTTTTATTTAAAAATTGATACGTTTAACTTCAGTAGAAATACCATTGAATATTTTTTGTAGGTTTGGGTCACTATTGACCCAGAATCCACCGTTCGAAGATTAAGAATATGTCGAAACAGAATAGAGATTATCTTCGAAAACATCAAAGTAAATATTAAAGAAATTTTACACGGTTTTATGAAACAAGGCGTAGCAGCGAAAGGGTTAAAAGCATTCAGGTCAGAAATTTTGGACCTTACTAGGTATTCACCGCAAAAATGGAACAATGAAATGATTATTCAGCCTCGTACGAACATTTATTTATTCGAGCAACATCACGTTTGAACGCGTGATGTATAGGGTGCTTTGTAAATGTGGTATCAGGGATTCAGGACGTGACACGATGGTTTTTGCTTGGAAAAATTCTATGGGCAGAATCGAGACCCCCCAAAAAAGTTACGACAGTGCTTTGTTGGAGATAATTTTATTTAGTGACAAAGGAATTAAAAATGTGTGAACAGTTCTATTATTCAGACTTTTTATTTTATTCAAAAAAATGGAAAAAGGGTTTATTACTGTATCACTGAAACCGTCAGTACTGTCTATTATTCTCATTTGACAAAAAAGGTTGTTTGAAAATCATGCTATTGAAAAAGAAGATAAAAACAGGTGTATTCGGATATTTAGAGGGAGGGAATGATAGAAATAGTTTAAAAAAATACTTTCTAGGCAAAAACTTTTTATTGAAAAGGTAAACATATAATACAAAATTTTCATATCTATTTTATAGCTAAACTAGGATCCTATAAGTTTCTAATAGAAGTGCTGTGCTGCTATTCTTTATCTATCTAATGACTTATCCCCTTTACAAGAAAAGAGAAATTTCCCTATTATTGCAGGGCAATAATTCCCTATTATTAAATAAAAACAGAATCATTCGAAAGAAATTTATTCCTCAGTCATAAGAAGTATGCTCTCAAAACGGAAACGAGAATCAGCCGGTACGGTCCCCTAAAATACCTTTCTTTCTTGCACGAGTCCCAGTCGGGCCAGAAATTCAGTGTGGTCGCCGCAGACGAATCAGGCAGCGTCGTTGGACTGGTGAATGACGTGATTTGTATGGCCACGAATAGTTGCGGGGGCCGGAGGAAGGTCATTTTCGCGGCATCTGCGTGTGAATCCGGCTTGATACGGTGGCAGGCTGCTTATTCAGTCGTAAAACTGTGAACCAACCAGTTACCTACTTTCGAACATGTACCTACACCTCTGTTCAGAAGTTATAACACACCTTACCATTTTCAAACAAATCTAAATTACATTGCAGATTTAATTTTTCAATAATTTTTAGACATTTTTTATAAGGTATTTAACGGGCCATAGGGAGTTCAAGAAAATTTCCAGTGGATTTGGGACTTGACTTAATTAATTAAAATTAGGACCTGTATTCTATTAGGATGATGCAAAAATAATTGTGGGTTTCATCATTAAATTTCAAGACTAAAAACCGAACTTTTTTTGTACCTACCTTATATATAAGACGATCCACCGTGTCTCTAATCTACCTGTAAAAATGTAAGTCCCAGTCCGCCCCTCCTCATCACAGCAAATAAATGCTCTAGTTTCAAAAAATGCAATTTGTAACACCTTATTTGACTCACCTTACGTAATTAAAAGTCATCTTGTATACGGCTGATGAAAATCGATGTTAGGTGAAGTCATCCAGATTCTCTGTATGTGTATGTGTCGTCATCCCCGTCTTCATCATCTTTGTTACCGCTATTGTTGGGATCGTTATCCTCATAATTATCACTATTGTAATCTGTATCTTCATTGTTACTCCGTTCGTGGTAGTGATCACCTTGGTTTGTTTCACTATCATCGTAGCTGACTTTCCCGTCATCTTCCACAGCTTCGTCGTACTTGTTATCCCCCTTCAGCATCGCTATTGTTCTAATCATTACTCTCTCGTAGTTTAGACTTTATTATAATCCATTATGCCGTTCGTCATCTTTGACGTTATCGTCTCGTTATAAACCTTATCTCACCTTTATGATACTCCTAATCGCCACCCTCTTGCTAATCATTTTCATTGTGTTTTCATCAATTTCCGTACCATTGTAACTGTTGTGTTTTATCTAATGTTGAGATTTTTTTTTTTAAATCACCTCTCAGCTTCGACTACGTTAAATATTAGATTGAGACATTAGGCTTTCCCTAGGTTCTCCCTAGGTTCTATCACGGCAAATAATAGCAGACTATTTTATTTAATTATGATCTGAATTATTTCACTAACAACACAAGCAGCAGTCTAAATTATGTGGGATTTGACGATGGTAAGGCGGAAACGAATTCTGGCTCGATTGGAATTAGGTGAAGATTGTATTTGTATAACTATGAAAACTATGACAAATTACGACTGAACGAATGAGCTACCACAAAACTACGATTAACGACTGAAATACAAACGACGCGTAAACAACGAACGGCACATCAAGACTGACCCGTTCGTAAGGTCCTTGCTTACGACCCTGTCGTAAATTATCTTAAGCTAAACTAAACGTATTCCTATGACTAAAAATAAGCTTAATACTAGGGAATGTCCATTATCCTACAATTATAATACTTCACTCCATGACTTGTTCAAGTACCAAATTCATGACCTAAAATCACACTTCCGTGACAACAAAAGCTATGATTTTTAGTGTCCTGAAACGTCGGTTGCTCTCTGTATCCTCTTCCCTGTGTTTCACCGTCGTTGGCCGCGGTTTGGTGTCATGGTGCGTTTGCACGCATCTGAATCGGTGAGGTGGTTGAAGTCGATTTTAGGGTAGGTCAGTTGGTGTACGCGTTATTTGCACGCCAGGAGAACCGTTGACGAGATCGGCCTTGTTTCGAGTTCCCCTTTCGATTTGTGGCGCGCGTTTACGCGCCCGCACTCGCGCCTCCTAGCCAATTGAATCGAGTACTACCGGCAACACACGTGCTTCTTCCCGATTCGATGGGAACCCCGAAAGCTACCATAACCTCTTCTCGGCTGCTAGTCTCTTCCGACCCTCCTTTACCTTCGCCTCCCCTTCTTCCTTTGCTCGCATCTATGCACACGCAGCCCGATTTTGCAGTGTGCGTATATACCGGTTTCGCATTTTAACCGAGAAACAACGTCTGCCAACCCTCGAAAACGTGATCTCTCGACGAAACCGTCCCTCGCGTCTATGCTTCACGCATGCTGGCCATACTTGATTTTGAGGCAGGTCAGACCAGCCTATTGCAGCAGCCACACGTTGCTTATTCTCCTCCTCGACACACTGCTCCAGCAAGTTCGACAGCAGGCCTGCTGCCTATTTTACTCCGACCATTACAACTCGCTAAGTTTGCTTCTCCAGCTTCCTCGATCGTCGAGATTTTTCGGCAAATCTCGTCAGTGGCTATACTTTCCTTATCTGGAAGGAGAATCTGATGGAACGACGCGATGGAGGTGTACAGGTACGTGTTGTCACTTGCGAGACCGTAAACGTGTTTCCTGATACATCTGAGATAGTCTTTACGCTTTTATTTGCACCGTTGGACGAGAGTCGGTTGTTTATTAGTGTCCTGTCAATTGTTAAGATTATTAACGACATTTGATATAATATACCTACTATTCAGTAGTGATGGTCAAATGTTGACGTGATACAATTATTCTATTACTTAATTAATATTCACATTAACTCTGAAAGTGAGTTAAATCTTCTTTGACAGTGGTCCATAAAACATTAATACTTTCATATTTATTGCGCCATTTAGAAATTGTTGCAACGAGTGAAATAAATACAGAAGTGATAGAGATACGCGTATATTAATTACGGTGATTCTGGTATTATCTTTCTTAAACTTGTACCGAATTTTTTTTTTAAACTTCTTAAATTACTTTTTTTTACAAATCATATGCATGTCAAAGTCATCTATAGAGTGTTCTTGATCAGCCGTCTATGTGTGTTTGTGCATCTTAATGGACCTGGATGACCCAATAAATTCTAGTGTTATAAAGAATCCGAGAAATAAAAATTTTGTGCAAAGAACAGCTACGTTTCAACGGGTTCGCGTTTAAAAGAAATCCAACGCGAAGACATACAGAGGAGCATGCATAATTCAAGACGGTATGCACTTTTTCGTAACAAAACGTTACGATGCAACATTTTATGACCTATTTTCGAAGTTCTAACCGGAAACCGTAAATTTCGCATGGCAGTGAACGCACCAAGGTCTTGCGTGCTTAAATATCGAATAAAAAAGGAGATTGCTGCTACGATATTCGATAAAAAGCATAGGTGGATATGTAAAGATGTTTTAACAGCAGTTA